CATATTGATCATCATAACTGGTCTACTCGGGCGTCCAGCTGGGAGGTCTGGAGACACACCATCTATAACGCTGCTGCTTCTTTTGAGAACACACGCAGGATCACTCTTGAGAAAAGACAACGCAAAAAGAATCATCTCTTGCAGAATATTCCACCTAAGGAGTCTTTCTGCTGTGCCTTTTGCAATCAGATATGTCTATGTCGTATTGGCCTTTTTAGCCACCAGCGCGCTTGTAACAAATGTGGGTAGAGCCCTTCCCAAATCTTCGCTTGCAAAGCCTAGCCATGAATGAATATTCTTATAATAGAGTCTGCATGAGTTGCAAACTTTATAATTTGTTATTTTAAACAACATGTAAGAGGGTAAAAGCAGTCCTGCTATGTGTAAAATGCCTTGGCCTGCCAGGTGACATCTGATGTCTCATGTCTGGGGATCTGCACCTTATTCCCATTTCCCAACTCATTCAAAGCAACTTCTCCCTTAAAGCAAACAGAACTTGGTCACAGCAAGATGCTATCCTTCCTAACTCTACATGCCATGCACAGGCTGGCAGACTGATCTGACTTTGTGATTTGTGCTGTTGGACCTTCTTGGTGCTGCTGCAGCCCATTTGCAGTCACTGACCTCTGTCTGTTCTGCAACCTGCCAGTGAGCCTACTGCAACTTTTCTGCCAGAGCCCATCAGCTGCTCTGACCCAGAAACCATGTAAGGATGGGTAGGAGAGCCCTGGGGAACAATGGGGGAGATTCCAAAGCTATGCTAGGTGCTGCCAACTGTGGTAATTGCCCACCCTCCAGCCTCTTCATAGTGGTGTGGTGGGGAGAAAACAGACATAGAAGATGAGGACCTGCTCTAAGACACCTGAGTGAGGGCAAAGAGCATCCTGCTGCTTTCTAAAGGCTCCCCACTGACTCTTGCTTGGTGGTACAAACTAGCTTAGAGTCACTGAATAGTTATAATGATAAATATGGCCTACAGAGTCACATTCAGGAATGGGGCTGCCAGGCTGCTGCAATTGCTGTGGGCTGCTCCCCTTCATGTGCCATCACCCAGAGGGGGCACAGCTGCAGGAAAAGTAATTTTCTACCCCCAGTCCTGAATATGCCCACATCTGTAAGGCTATGAGAGTTCTAACCAAAGCTCAGGCTTCCAAGGAAACCCTGAGGCCACACAGTTGAAAACTCTACCCAATCTCCCACTTCTTTACTTGAACCCTGATCCTCCCTCCATGAGGGAGTAGAATCATAGAATAGTTTGGACTGTAAGTAACCTCTAAAGGTCACCTAGTCCAACACTTCTGCCATGGTCAGGGATGACATCAACAGGATCATGTTGCTCAGAGTCCCATCTAATCTGACCTTGAACAGATCAGGCATCAGATACCACCTCTTTGGGCAACATAAACCTACCCTCCCTAACATGTTAGGCACACGCACAGATTTCCTTGAGTGAAATGGGAGAGGAGGCAGCCACAGTTGGGACTTGAAAGATATAGATGAAAACATAAGGAGAATGCTTTGGGGTAGGCATGGGGAAAGGGAGGTGGAAGTTGTGTGCCTGATCCACACAGAATGGGAGAAGGGTGTGTGGAGATGGCAGACGTATGAGTCAACATGAGCCAAAATCTGACAGTTCTCTTGTTTTACAGTTGTTTTAACACTCCTCACAGTATTTTGTACAGTATTTTGTACACTCCTCACTTCTTTGTAGCAATTCTTAACAGTTTTTCAGCTTTTTCACTCCAAGGGAAAATGCTGCTGATGTTTCAGACTAATAATACAAGCTTTTCTTTGAGTCACAACAGCTTTTTGAAAGCCTTTCAAAATGTGCATGTGGAAATGTCTTTTTACATGTACAAAGGGAAAAATAGAAACATAGGAACACGCATATTAATTTTGCATTTGTTAGCACTAGATTTCTTATGCCATTTTAGCACCTAGTCACTTAGTAGTGGCTGTTCCTCATGTTCTGCTCCCATACCTGAAGTTAAAATGATTAGTAGAAGTTTCTTGACATGGTCTGTGAGCTATGTGCTGTCCTGCATCAACTTCATGGCAAAGTAAGTGAAGATATGATTTTACCAAGATGGCACAAGTGGTGGCCTTTGTTGGTCATACAGACTCTTGCAGCTAATGGTAGAGGGTGTTTGGCGGTGTGTTTTCAGTCGGGGTTAAGCATAAGTGCATCTGTTGTAGATGAGGACTGTAGGAGCTGGTGCTGCCTGATCACTAAGGCAGAGGTAAGGAACTGAGGAAAGCTGAGGACTTGGTAGAGGTGCAGCTGAGCTGTTTGCTGCAGCTGGGCAATGGTAAGAATGAAGGAGGATCTGGAAATAATTGAAGTAGTCTTGTTTCCAAGACTTGTGCAGAGCATGAAAAGCCTTCCTAAGCAGTAATGGAAGTGTGGGCAAGAAACCAGAAAGTGTCACAGGTTTATTCAGGCAAGCATACCTCACTTTGTTGTTCCATAAGCAAATGTGTGTGTATATGTAACTGTAACACACAGAAGAATTACTATGAGCAGTAAGTTGGTACAGGAGAAGCCTCACTGCAGAAGTTCTTGTTAAATCCTGCAAGATTGTAAAAATGAATAAGAAAAACTTGTTACAAAGGCAGTCACATTCACTTCTTTATGTTATCCATCCTGCTTACTTAAAATGTAAGATTAGGTGTAATCTTCCTTGGCAAAGGTACTAGATTTTGTGTTCACAGAAGAAATGTTCAAGAAAGAAATGTTTTTCATGCACAGTGCATGCTTTATGATTGCTCAGTGTTGATTTATGTGCTGTTCCTGTAAATCTGTGGCTAATGTCCAGTAGGATGTATCCACGAGGGTCACACCAATAGTAATATGGGATGCATTCATAAAGAAAACATTGTTTTTCACATTCCAACATGCAGCTTCTACAGAATTAAAGGGCTGAGGCTGCTTCAGGAGGGAGATATGTGAACAATATAAAGGTGGTATGATAAGAGAGTCCCTCAGCATAATAAACAATCAGAAAACAAGTTTTGCGCCTGAAATCAGAAACAGGACAAACTCAAGTTCAAATTTCAGAGTGAAAGTAATTATGCATTCTTGAAAATATGCATTCTGGGGTTTAGGCTATAGTTTGTTAACATTGCCCTGGCAAAAAAAAAAATTAAGATGAGAAGGGCTCAAATTAAGGAACATGGCACTCAGCCCCTCTGTTCTTCCAGCAGAGAACAACATCCCTGCAAAGCAATCCTGTTACCAAAACATTTCTTGCTTTATTATAATGTACATAACTACAGACTTGCAAGCATCTGGAGTTGTGCAATATTTTCTGGCAGACTTAGAGAGCTCTCATCCTTCATAGATACAGCAGATTGAAAGCTGTTTATTCAAAATATTTGTCATACGCCTACTTTGAGTAGGGTTTTAAGAAAGCACAGCCATTTCTGTGTAAACATTAACTGTATACCTGTCTTGGTCTATCACATAAAGCATGTTTGTACAAGACGTTACTTTAAAAAGAAGGAATAGGAGGAGCACTGGCTTGAGATAGGAATATTTGTGTTGTTTTTATTATTCCTTTGCGTCACTATGGGTTGCAGAATGGAATGTACAAAATAATGTAATGCTCCTGCTTGTTTTCTTGTTAGACTGCTGAGGCTCACTGGAGAGACCTCTGTGCTTGAATTCAATTATTTCACTTTCCTGTGTGGATTAGTGATCCACTCTGCTGAAGACCTGTTGTCTGGTGCCTCAACTCCAGTGACTTAAGACTCTTCACCTGCTAGATCAGCTCCTTCCAGATGCCCTTTGGCACATGAGTGCAAATTTTTTGCCTTACTACTGTGTTCTTCATGGAAAAGAA